CTCTAATATAAACACGGTCGTCAGCCAATCAGAGCGCGCGTTATACATATCAAAACATTTATAATAATCTTTAGGAAGATCTTTCGGTCCACTCTTTACATGTTTCCATTGCTTAATATAAACAGAAGGAGCGGTTGGGAGAATTCTCGACAATTATTCAGTTCGTCTCGGATTTGCATAAGTGTTATGACACCATACGTGACCGATGTGGAACTATTTCAAGCAGCGAAACAACGGTGGTCAGCTTTCTTTCGCTATATGAAAATGAAAATTACTTGCTTGAAACTTTTCGATGACGAGTATAGAGTCTTGATCTCAAAAAGTGTACTGAACTGTATGCATAGCATTATAAAAACAACGGAAATTCACTCAGTAATTAGTCAAATAGATTTGGACTAAAACAAAGACAAACTTTAGGTATGATAGTTTTCGACTGTTAATCATCACCATTATAATTGAGAAAGTTGTAAATTTTTAGGCAGATTTTTTTGGAAATTATGTTAAGTAAGTAATCAATATTTCTTTCACGATTTTTCTCCTTGTCCTTTCCTGTTTTAAGTTACTTATTCACTTCTCTGTTTATCTGTCGCGTTTTTTTGTAAAGATCAATAATTGTACACAATGTAGAGCTCATATCATTAAAATATCATTTTATTTGATATAAGTTTTTGATCGACAAATGTTTCGCAATGTTTTTTTTTTCGGGCATCTTTTTATTCCTTTTTATTATATAGATGATTTCTAACGCGCGCTCTGATTGCCCAAAAAAAGTATGGTTTATGAGAGTATAAACCACGGCTGAGCCTTATTTATTTGTTAAGTAAACATTTCACAGTTTTTATAAAACTATTCAGTCAAATTCTTCTAAGTTATTAAAAGATGACTTTTACTGCAATTCTTCGGCCGCTAGCTTTTAGTAAGTACATTTCTTTACCGTTATCTGAACTTTTTCAATGTTTTCTCAGCTGCCCTTGGACTACTTTCACTACATTTGCGTTTATAGGAAACTGTTTTACATCAAATTCAGGAAGTTTGAACCGCAAAAAGTATAAAACTATCGAAAATAAAAACATCACTTTGTTTACTTCCATCAATGACATTAATGACGCGTTGTGATTGGTTGTCTTAAAATAGATTATCGGGACACCTGATGGTGACTTGATTACTAGCGGGATCGATACTTCTGGCTATGTACTTATTGAATACTCGGCTATTGTTAAATAAGTCATAACGTCTTGAAATCATGCGACATAAATCTATACTGATTTTCTCCAACAAGAAACTGAGAAAATAGAATGATCTAGAACACAAGAAATTCCACACTGACACAATCACTAAAAAAAATTAATTGGGTACATCAGGTTGTATCCAAAAGCCTATCACATTAACAAATATTGCATCAAAGTTGCAATCTATGGCTATGCAAGAATTGAAGGTACAGTTATTTCACATATAAAAATTATTTTTAATTCCAACCTCAATTATGTACCTTATTTAGCAGTACAATTCTCTAGGAAAAAGTTTAAGAGTGCGCGCATCCACCCATTCAATTTTTTTCATGCATACATTTTTAGCCATGAAGAGTTCGTCATTCGTACTCACTCAGTTATTCATTTGATACTTATTCAGTTATCAGTCCATTTATTCATGCATGGTTTTCTCATTCGTTTCTCTTATCTCTTCTTCAATTCATCATATTTTTCATTTATTCTCTCATTCGTTAGTTAATTATTAACTTCCCATTTCATGTTCAAATTTCCAGAATGCATCACAAATCCACTTGGCATGAGATCAGGAGACATCATTAACGACCGTCTTTCAGCCTCATCCTTTCAACGGGTAACCAAAAACCCAAGGTTACATTCAAGGTCATGTTGGTGCCCTGAATCAAGAGACTTTACACCTTATCTCACAATTGATTTGGGTTCACATCATGTGATTTGCGCTGTTGATACACAGGGATGCAATATTGCTGATCGTTGGGTAAAATCGTATCACATTTCGATATCTTCAAATGGAAGCTTATGGTCTCTGTACAAGGAAAACAATGTTACAAGGGTACATAGTTTGCCTTGTTGTAAGGACAGTCGCTTATCTATCTCTCATTAAGAATTGCTAATTGCTTGTTCTGATTTTGGAGCAAACTAGCTTGCATGATTTTTTTTATAGATTTTCTACGGGAACTACGACCGATCGACGATATCTCATAAGTTATTGTACCACAGCCCCACAGCAAGATATGTCCGTATTGCACCCCAAACATACCATGGTGCACCATGCTTGAGGATGGAGATTTATGGCTATCAACTGGAATCAAGTAAATTACATTAAATTTGAAACTGCTAACTATTTAAAGTGTAAAAGTACTGGTGATGCTCGTCGGATCTGCTAATTTGAAGTTTTTGGAAATTTCCTTTAGTCCCAGAACTAAACGTCAGTCAGTCGATTTTTTGTGCGAAAAATCGTCAGAACAACCATAATTTCAATTAATAGCACCATAGAAATCGGGGCATCCCGGTAATTTTATCGGGGTCCCTCCAAAACTGTTATAACTCAAAACATTAGCTCAAACATCAATAACAATGAAAAAATGTATGATCAACAAGAAATGAAATGCAAATCATATTTTTTTGCGCGGAACGTTGACCGGGCATTGACGAATATTTTTTGGTTGGCTGTGACCCAACACCGATCATTGCAAGGATAGCAACAAGTTCAAAATTTTTGAGTAATAACAAATTTAGAGGCATATACACTTCAAAGGATGGGTTGCAAAATGTCGCGCCTTGAAATTTTTTTCGAGCCAAAAAAGCGGATAATTAAGTAATGTTTGCCTTTTTAAGCCGGGTCTTGTAAATATATTCTGCAGAGCGGCATGTGTAGGAAGACATTAAATTGTACGTTACCGTAAAGGAAATGATCATAAGAAAATATTACATTAAGAAAGTTTAAATGCTACGAAATTGTAGGCATTTATGCATGCGCAGTGTCTACATAGAGTAAAAAGAGTAAATAGCTCTATAAAAAGAAAACCCGTCTTTTTTGTGAAACTTCACAGTACGAAATTTTTGATGAATCCCAAATAATCGCAAACTACCATAGGCTTATGGTTCACAGCCGTTTATAAACGGAACAATCATTTTCTTACTTCCATCATTTACATTGAAATATCCTGCAAAGCTGAGTGTTAATTTCATAGCAGACATCACACTCGTACCAGGTCTCTAATTTCAAAAAGAGTGCATTTTCCTAATGAGACGGAATGTTGAATATTGTTAACAATCGATAAGATTTTGGAAAAATAGAGTTAATTTAAGGTTCAGCAGCAATTTTARTGCAGTTTGTTTTTGTTTTCTTCAGCGTGTTCAAAGCACAGTGTTGGTGTCCCTAGTCCATTAGTGGTACCAAAGCATCGATTTAAAGCTACGTCTTTTCAACACTATTATCATCCATACATGGCTCGATTACAAGGTTATTATTCGTGGAGACCTCTTACAGCGAGTAATCAATACCTTGAGATTGATCTGGGTAAAATATTCCGCATTTGTGCAGTATTGACTCAGGGAGATCCCATTCACAAATATTGGGTCACAAACTATTCACTACGATACTCGAATGATAATAAATTGTGGAAAAAGTATAAAAAGCTGGATGGAAGAGAAAAGGTATTTTAAAGAAGCATTCTTTGATTTTAACTACTTTAATTTCACTTATTAGAAGGCTTTTAAACGAAAAAGATCTGAAAACTTCTTCTTCAGTGATAGAAACAGACGTCACTCGTTTGTTTTATTGAAATAAGCATAGATGAACTTGACTTAAGAAATATAAAACGGCGCGCGTGTCTCTGTCCTCTGATATAAACACGGTGGGAGTTCGAAAAACACGAGAGAAGCAAGCTTAGAAACACGAGCGTAGCGAGTGTTTCTCTTGCTTCTCGAGTG